TTGGAAGAGTCAATATTGTCAAAAAGACTGTAATACCCGAGGCAATCTACAGATTCAGTGCAATCCCTATTAAACTATCAATGGCATTTGTCACAGAACTAGAGCAAAAATTTTTTTAATTTATATGGAAACACAAAAGACCCCAAATAACCAAAGCGATCTAGAGAAAGAAAGACGGAACTGGAGGGATCAGACTCCCTGACTTCAGACTATACCACAAAGCTACAGTATTTGTGTATATTCTTTTGTTCATCAATTCACTTAATGGACATTTATCAGATGCCTACTATGCGCCAGAGGACTCAAGGTCCACTCATTCATCCAACACATATTTAGTGAACACCTACTATGTGCTAGGGCTCTGGCACTCCACTCATTCACTCAACAGATGTTTACTGAATGCCTGCTGTGTGCTCAGATACTGTTCTAGGCACAGGAATAGAGCAGTGAATGCAACAGACAAAAACTCTTGCCCTCCTGGAGCTCTCTCTTATCTCCGCAACATTGCAGGGTTGACCTGGTTTCCCCCCATTGTACAGCTGAAGAAACTGAGGCCTAGAGAAGTTAGGTGCCTATCCCAAGGCAAGTGAGTGGCTAGTGAGTGGCAGAATCAGACTAGACTCCAAGGGACAGATGTTACCTGGTAACCCTGTATCTCATCACAGAGTTTGGAGGAAGTTTCCAGAGAAGGGTGCTGCTGGCTGTGGGGTTGGAACCCCATCTCTGCTACTCCCAACTGTGTGTGCCACCCCTCCTCACTGTGCCTGGAGCTCACAACTTCTAACCCCCAGGGTGGCCGTCGAGGTTATAAATGGACGTGGCGGTCAGCTCCATGCAGGCAGGTGGCCCACCCGCTTGTTCTCCCCTGTATCCATGGCAGCAGCACGGCGCCCAGCACATAGTAGGTGCTCAGCCAGGGGTAACTCTTTCGGACCCAGCCTGGAGCCTGTGTGGCTGGATGCCCAGGAATGCCGCTGGCTCCTTATCAGGCAGGTATGCTACAAGCCTCTTCCTGTTGGGGTAGACTGAGGGGCAGGTGCAAAAGTTCCCAAGATGTTTCTGGAGTCCCTCCTCAGAGAATCACAGTGCCCCCGCCTAGCTCGTGTCTGCACCCGTCTCCCAGAGACTCGGAGTACGTCCTGTGCATCACATCTCTCCCTGGCTGAGGCAGGCACAGCAACGTCTTGATTAGCCACCACCCATCCGTCACGCGATGCCAATGGAAGGGAGTTCCACCTGAGCTGAGCCGTCCCATGAGGACAGCTGGGGAAAAAATGAGTCTTCCCAGGCCCCTGGAGGAAGATAAGGGAATGTGCTTGAAGTGTCCAGAGCCAGGGCAGAAACGGAGAGGATCACCGTGACCCAGACAGCGGAGCTAGTACCCACACCCTGAAGCTTGCAAGAGGGCGTCTGCATTCAGATTCAGTTCTGCGGTCTCCACACAGAAAGGAGTGAATGCAGCAAACTTCTCCCTTGGAGTGGTGGAGCAGACAGGAAATAGAAAAAGATGCTGCAGAGGCGTGGGTGGATTTCTGGGTGGTAAACCCAGGAGGCAGCACTCAGCCAAGCCGAGGCTTCTCTCTTTCTCTCCTTCTCCCCCACCGCTTCCCCATCTCCCCTCCCTCCCTCCTCACTCTGCCCTCCCCCACTGAGTCTACACTGCTGGGACTGTGTTCTGGTTTCCAGCCCCCCAGCTGAGGCTCTGAAGGCACCAACCAGACCACTCCAGAAGGAGGGACCTGCCCACTCCACCCTGTGACATCCACACGTGGGCCCCCAGCAGGGCTCCGTGGTCAGTACTTGGGGGCAGCCAGGGGGGCCCTGAGCGGGTGTCCCTTCTGGAAGATGCTGCTCCTTGTGGGCCTTGGGGAAGGCAGGCACATCTCCGCTGCTCTGGCCCAGCCGAGGTCCCCCACGGCTCCAGCCCAGCGAGCCTGTGTCCTCTGCGCCTGGACAGCAGCACACATGGGCTGCGACCTCCAGACCCCACTCCTGGGCTGCTGACGGTTTCGTGTGCCCCGGCCTGTCCCACCTTGTGGTCAGAGATGAGGAAGGCCGGCCCTCAGCTGCCAGCCCACACCTCACCTGCGGCCCTCCCCTCTGTCCCCCTGGCCTTGCCCTCAGCCTCCCTCTTCCTTCGCCACCTCCATCGCCACCGGTCTCTTCCTCTCCATTCCCCCATCCGTTCTCACTTCACCTTCCCTCTTGTTGGTCCTGCTTCTACTTCTCCCCACTTCTCTTTGCCCCTCCTCCACTTTCCTCATCCTACCTACTTTCTCTTCCTCGGAGACTTGATTTCCAAGGGAGACTTGACTCGGTTCGACAACGCTTACTGAGCACCTACTGTGTGCTGGGCACAGTGCCGAGTCAGGGTGTAGAGATGAGACTCGGCAGGGTCTCGACAGCACAGGCTGGAGAGCTGGGGTTCCCCCACCCTCCTCTCCTTCTGCCCTTTTCCCCTGCTTCCTCTCCTCCCCCCACTCCACCCTCTCCTCCTGTAGCTTCTCTTCCCTCCCTGTCTCGGCCTCTGCAGCCAGAGGGGAGCTGGGGCGAGTGGGATGGCAGAGTCCCAGGAGGCCCGGCAGCAGGAGCCCTGGGTGCTGCCATCCCCACATGACAGATGATGGCGGAGACTGAGCGCCCAAGACACATTCATCACGTCCGCCTCCTTTCAGGGCCAAGACAGGACGGAAATGACTTTTGTCAGCTCTGCGGCAGCCCAGTGCCCCTGGCAGCTCCAAGCTGTTTATTAAAAAAAAAAAAAAAAAGATGAAGAAGAGAAAGGCATGTGAATGCCATCTTGCCATGTGTTAGGGGAGCGATTCTAAAGTGATGATGTTGACAAACACCCCTTCAGGTAATCACACAGGAGCTCTCCAGCTCCCTTCCTAGCCTGCGTCCAGCTGTGACGGAGATGGAAGGTGACAGGCAAGAAATAGGAAGGGAGCAGCTGCTCTGGGCAAATTGCGAGGCTTCTGTTTGAGCACATGGGGGCCAGCCTTTGCCGGGAGTGATGGGACGCAGGGTCACCTGCCCGTTCATTCTCCTGCCCACTCCTCTTGGGACGTCACATGAGGCTTTCGTGGAGCCCAGTGGTGGGTTAGGCTCCAGAGACCCAGAGGTTGTTAGTAGTAATCGTAATGAGCCCGAACGGCTAATTATTGATGATTAATAATTATTAATCATAACTGTTAACCATTATTTGAGGAGCTAGGTGCCCGGCATGGGGCCCAGGGCTTTTCTTCCCTCCCCTTGATCTCCCTGTGAGATCAGGACGGTGACCTGGGCTAGGAGGAGGGGGAAGGAGTGCATCCAACGAAGGGAACAGCAAATGCAAACCCCGGAGGCAGGAAGAGCGTGGCCTGTCCCGGGAGACCCGTGTGGCTGCAGCAGAGCGAGCCAGGGGCTAACTCACAAGACAGGAGGTCGGGGAGGGGGTCGGGAGCCTGAGCCCCTGGAAGACTAAGGGTAGTGAGGACAGTGCGTGATGGAGGCAGCGCGTCGACACGCCTACCTTGGGGTCCATCTCGTGGGCTCCTCACTGCCCCATACTGTGACATTGGTCCTCTCCACCTAGCTGACCTAGGGCATGAGGAGGGACAGATGAGCGCAGCCAGTCCTGTGCCTGTCGCTCAGGGAACCTTTTCACAGAGTATTATCGCCAGGGCCTGGGTCAGGGGAGGCTCCTGCTAGCATCAGAAGAGAGAGGCTTATGGGCTGGTGGGAGCTCAGGAAGGCAGTGCCTAGGTCCCTGCCCCGGTCCCTGAAAAAGATCCCAGTCCCCTACCCTATCTGTACTCTCCTCTCCACTCCTGACATCACCTCCAGGGGCCATGGGCTTGGCTCCTTCTGAGACTGAAAAGCCCTTTGGGTCACTGTGGTCAGCTCTTTTCCCTCTAAACTATCCTACGTGGTCAGGGGATGGAAACGGTGATAATCAGACTGTGGTGAGCAGGACACCTTCCTCGGTCTTGTGCCAGCATTCCAACCTTTATGTGTAGGAGGCTGGCTCCTGTAATCCTTCCTGTCGTGACAGAGCAGCAAGCAGGGGCTGACGACGGGAACCTGCATCACCATCGCTCCCACCTTCTTCAGGCTGAGCCCTGGCCCCGGCTGCCACGCCCAAACTCTGACATTTGGCGCCCCTTCTTGCTTTTTTGTAAATTACAGCTTTGCTGTTGTCTGGGAAGGAGGTCGCTTGTCTTAGAGGGAGGACAAATAGATTTTATTTTTTTAAAGAACAGTGGATGGATTCCAGTCTCTCTCCTCTAAGCCCTGCTTTTCGTCTTACAGCCTATAATTTTGCCCCACTGTGAGATTCCCACTCTTCAGAGGCAGTGGTTTTGGCTCAGCTGCTGCAAAATGCCTCTGCCTGGCAGTCCCAGAATAGAAAGCGTCTGTCCTCTCGTGTATAGTCTTGGTTTCAAGATGATTTGATGGAGCTGTTTCCCTTTTGAAGGACCATTTTTTTTGTTGTTTGTTTGTTTGTTTTTAATCCCACCCGCATCCCATGAAACAGTCGGGTGTCACGGAGCATCTCGTTCAGGCGCATGTTTGGGTCACTGGCTCCAGCAGGCTCTGCTTGGTGGGGCTGTCCTCCGGGCTTGGCCCTAAATAAATAAATAAATAACCTCCCGTAGGTGCCCCTGAGTCTTCAAGAAGCAAATTACCTATTTCACAGCAGACTGTGTGGTGATAGGTCTTATCATGTCAGAGATGATGCCTCGTAAATCTGAGTCATCCCTCAGAGGTGCAGTTTTAACCTACTCAAACGTACTTAGTCAGGTTTAATTATAGACAGAAATTGCATTTCAGAAAGCGACAAGAAATCATTTGCACGGCTTGAGTCTGCGCATTCAATCGTATGGTTCGTTGGAGGGTGCAGGTGGGGTCAGCATTTCCAAAGAAAAATAGTATTAGTGCCCGCGCTCTGGGACTCAGTCGCGTCGACTGTGGAGATGGCACGGTGTCCGCTGACGGCGGGTTTCTTCTTGGCGCAGGATCCAGGAGGAGGCCAGCGACGGGGCCCAGGACGCCCACGGCAGGACCTGGGGGGACAAGGCCGCGTCCCCGCTCTCCCTCCGCCGAGGAAAGTACGGCCACTTCGGGGACAGCGAAGAGTGTGGCGTCCAGAGAAAGCCCCCGGAGAGGTCGGGCGCGCTGTCCTCCTCCCCGTCTTCCTGGAGTGGAGACGTGTCCCCGCGGCCCAGGGACAAGCTCCCCAGCCCATCGGCTGCCCTGTCGGAGTTCGTGGAAGGGCTCCGGAGGAAGAGAGCGCAGAGGGGCCGGGGGTCGCCGCTGGGCCTGGAGGACTGGCCCACCCTCCCCATCTACCAGACCACCGGGGCGTCCACGCTGCGGAGGGCCAGGACCAGCAGCGACGAGGGCGCTCTGGCTCTGAGGGCTGGGGCCGAGTCACCCCTGGATGCGTCGGCCGGGCTCCTGCGGTCCACCAGCCTGAAGTGCATCTCCTCGAAGAGCGTGGGGGGTCCCAGCCCGCCGCCCGAGAAGCTGAAGACCCGCTTCAGTTCCTGCGAGTCCCTCCTGGAGTCGGGGCCTGGCTCGCGGAGGACCCCGAGCTCCCCGACGGCGCTTAAGGGCTCGTTCTTGTCACCCACGCTGCGCCCGCGGAGGCGCTGTCTGGAGTCCTCGCTGGAAGATGCGGGCTGTCCGGACCTCGGGAAGGAGCCGCTCGTCTTCCAGAACCGCCAGTTTGCACACCTGATGGGGCACCCTCTGGGCAGCGACCCATTCAGCTGGAAGGTCCCGAGCCTCAACTATGAACGCAAGACCCAAGTGGGTTTCGATGACTTCCTCCCGGCCATCCGGAAGCCGGAGACACCTACGTCCTTAGCCCGAGCGGCCAAAGACGGGCAAGACAGTTCACAGCATTCAAGCGTCCACTTTGAGACGGAAGAGGCCGACGGGGGCTTTGTCTCAGGGATCACCACCGTTTTGAAAAGGAGCCCGGAGTCCAAGGAGGACCCTGCTCACCTCTCCGACTCATCCTCCTCCTCCAGCTCCATCGTGTCCTTCAGAAGCGCCGACAGCATCAAGAGTCGGCCAAGAATCCCACGGCTGGAGGGTGACGGTGGTGAGAGAACATCCCCTGAGATCAGAGAGCCGGGGACAGGGAGGAAAGAGGAGGATGTTGAGAGCATCATGAAGAAATACCTACAGAAGTAGGGACCAGCTCAGGTAACAGCGACAGGCTGGCCTGTCCTCCTGGGGGGATGAAACGAGGGGGTCCACCCAGGTCTGGCAGCCTGGAGGCAACCGGTTGCTGCTACTGCTTTTAGGTTTTCACTGAAATGATGTGTTGCTATTTATGCAAATAACGTGTTCCTGGTAAATGCAAAACTTACCAGAGGCCCTCACTAGGTGCCACCGGTTTCTCTGCTCTTGAAAATACAGGCCCATCAGAAAGTGTGAGGGTCCCGTGGGGGGCGGGGGAGAGGGTGCTGAAGGAGGCGCTGGGCTTTTAAAGTTTTCCCACCCTTGTCCTGTTCTCTTTCCAGCGCTCCTCTCCCCTGGTGCTGGGGGAGCCATGGAGGCATCTGTCCGCACAGTGACGGGAGAGCCCGGGTGGATGGGGGGAGGGTCAGGCTAGCGTAGACGAGGCCTTGACGTTAGTGAAATCCAACTCTTGCATTAAATGTGTAAAGAGAAACTGGGGCCCAAGAAGGGGGAGGAGGGGACAAGTACAGAGATCCCAGAGCGACACCGTGGGAGCAGCAGTGCTTCCCTCTGCCTTCTCCTCCCGTCCCGATCCTGGCACTTCTCTGCAGTAAAGGTAGGAAGAGACATTCGTTGCTAATAACAGCTCCAGTTGATTGAATGTGTTTATCAGGCAGTCATTTGGTGCCCACAGTTACCCCAAGAGGTGGTGAGTATGATTTATTCCCATTCTACAGGTTGACAAACTGAGAATCATATAGGTTAAGGCACTTGTACAGAATCACCCAGGCAGAACTGGGATTTGAATCTCCAGAGTCCCCACACTTTTGTTGGTGATACTTTTTCTTAGGTACTTATTCCAGGCCTCTTTGTGAGTAAACTCAGAGCCACACTGATGGAGCTGGGTCTTTAAAGGGGTTGCCTCAATGGAGGGCAAACTGAGGCAGAGCTTAGAATTATACATCTAAAGGGGGGGTTGGAACTCACAGACTCCAACCTCACTCTTGGGCAAGTGAGGAGGACCTCAAGATCAAGGTCACCCAGTGAGTCTGCCACCAACCCAGCCACCCTGACTCCCACTCCAGTGCTCTTTGCCCTGAGGCCAGGCTGGCCCCTGACTGCACCTCGTAGGGCATGTTTCAGACTCCAGGGCACTGAGTCTTCCACTTCACAGCTCCCGACTGAAATGCAAAGCCCCATGAGGCAGGCCAGGAAGCAGCGGAGGGGGAGTTAGAGCCTCCCTCTGGGTTCAGATGCGATGCAAACCCACATCCCAGTGGCGGGTCCCCCACCCCAGCGTCTGTAAATCTCCGCGTCACTGAAGCTCAGAACTCGCAGCGGCTCAAGGCTCAGGTGGTCAAGTGGTCGTGCTCAGCCCACACCTGGCTCAGCCGCCAGCCCTCCTTCCAGAGGCCTCCTGGACCCAAACAAGCCGCACGTCCTGTCACTTTGAGAGTCACCCTCAGCCCATCAAAAAGCCATTGCCCCTTCCACGGAGATGGGCTTGGACTGTATCAGAGCAAATTAAATTGACTTAACATGGCCTTCTCTCTGCTCTCAATTACTGAGGAGAGATCTGATATTCATTTACATTATTATGCTCTCGGGGACACAGAACGCAGTTTCAAAGGCCAAGTAAAGGGCACACGTCCCGAAGGGGAACAGTGCTTAGCAGACATCGTCACAGAACATCTTGTCTCTGCCATTTTTTTTTTTAAAGCTCAGCTCCCCTTCTCCCCTCCCAGCAACGCTCGCTGTGATAACGGAGCACCTGCCTAAAAATCTCCTCCACCTTTGACTTGCACGCTGTAGTCTTGAGCTCGACAGTACAGCTCCATTGCCCATGATACAAATGTGTTAACGGGATTCGGAACCACTCAAGCCCCCAGAGCTCAGTTCTTCCCGGTAACTGCCGAGCGATGCAGGCTTGCTGAACGTCTGTGTTCTCAGCTGGAAGATGGGGGTAATAATGCCAACTACCCAAAGTAGCATTGTGAGCGGCATGTGAATCAGAGACCCCAGCCCAGAGCACTGCCACAGTGGCCACAGTGCATGTCAGGTACCTGCGCTTGGAAATGGTGGCCCTTCAGGATGTCTTTCAGGCTCCCTCCACTCATTTCCCTTCTGCCCCCTCCTATCTCATTCCACTCAGCACATTGCTGCAGTAACGCCACCTGGGAATATGGGCTCCAGGGGCTTCCACCCACCAAAACACACTCCCCAGGCCCCATTTCTCAGCTCTGACCTGCATTTGTTTCCAGCCTCCTGTGACACATTGCCCTCCTTGAAGACTTCCCGACTCCATGATGTTCTGGAGAGAGAGACAAAGACCAGCCAGGCCTCCCCGGGGGCCCCGAGTCCACAGCCAGTGTGGCCGCCCTCAAGAGGCTGGTGGGGGGGCAGCAGAGGCACATCCCGTGGGGCGTGGGGCTCCCAGCATGCTAGGTCTGTACCAAATAAAGTGTTGGCTTCTTGGCATCTGGGCTTTCTCTCTGTTCTATGATCATGTTACCTAGGACTCTGGAGGATTGATGGTGTGCACCTTGGGGCAGAAGGGTTCCGAGGAAGGGGACCAATGCAAACTGTTTGTAGTTTCGGGTGCACACTGCTATTTCTTTCCCTGTGTGTCTACATGCAATGGCCTTGCTCTCTTGGCCAAGTTCTGCTCAAATGTCACCTCCTCCAGGAAGTCTTCCCTGATACATCAAGCTGAAACAAATGCTCTTTCTCTATTCTCCCTTAATTCCCATGCTTCTATCATATTTCCCTTGTCTATTTACATATCTACATTGTGTGTAGATGTGCGGGCATTCAAGAAATTTTGATGAATGAGTGACTGAACGAGCAAATGAACCACGGAACAAGTCAGTGGCTCATACCCCCTGAATACCTGGGACACACTGACATATATGCATCTCTACAAATGTCCGCCCACAGCAACATTCAAGAACTTGTGACCATCTTTTCCCACAGTCCCCCGTACACCTCACATACACAGACTACCATGCACAGACAACTATGCACGTGTACCAAAAACTACACTCGCAATGGCACACTTACAGCCTGGACACCTGCTTTATCAAACATCCTTGAAGTGTCAATAATCCTAAAACTATAGGCTGATGTTTATTGATCACATACTGTGTACTGACCACCGTGCTAGGCATTTTACACAGTGCATCTCACTCCAACTTTATAAAGTCCCAAGAGATAGATCCACTTATTTTTTCCTATTTACAAAGACAGAACTAGCTTATGCCCACATTCAGGTAGCCAATGCTACTTCTCCTTAAGTTCCCACTGGCACAGACTCCACGTCCTACCCCACATGTGCCTCTATTCCTAGGGCCCCTCTGGTACAGCCAGTCACAGCTGCCATCAGGAAGGAAAGTCCTGTTGGGATCACCGGTGAGTTAATTTGCTAGGGCTGCTATAACAAAGCACCACAAACTGCATGGTCTAAACAACAGAAACTTACTATCTTGAAGTTTTAGAGGCTAGAATTCCAAAATCAAGATGTTGGCAGGGTTGGTTCCTTTGGAGTATCTTAAGGGACTCTCTTTTGGCTTACATGTAGCCGTCTTCCTCCTGTGCATGTCTGTCTCTGTGTCCAAATTTCCTCCTTTTATGAGGACACAGTCATAGTCACAGTCAATCAACCCTAACCTCTACTTGATTGCCTGTGCATAGACCTTATCCCCAAATAAGGTCACACTCTGAGCTCCTGGGGGTTCGGGTATCTTGGGAGCGGGTGGGGGACACAATTCAAGCCATAACAACTTACCAGTTGGCGCTTACCCCAAGAAGGGAAGATCTCAGCTCTGACCATCCTCGCCAGAGGTTGTGGGTAGAACTGGGAAGGGGAGGAGAGATGGGGCAGGAAGGAAATTCACTGGATGCCCTCCCTGGGAGACCTCACCATCTGCCCGTCTCTCTGGCGGAGAGAGTCAGTGGAAGAGTGGACTGTGTTTTCTCAGATGCAGGAGCGTTCTCCCACTTGGTGAGTCTGTAGACAAATACATCATATATTTATATGTATTTAAGGAACATCCCCCACCAGCCTGCCATGCACAGGAGTGGCCTCAGCTCACCGGAGAGAGCTGGGGCATGTGGAGGGGACATCCGAGATCTCTGCAGGGAATCAGAGGTCCTGGCAAGGAAGAGGGTGCTGTTCAAAAGCTTGACGACGTTTGGGTGTGGGGTAAGGATGGGAGCAGACACAGCCCTGTGTCTTCCTCCGGTGGAACCCATGGAGCCTTGGAAAAGCCACTTCCCTCACTGGGCCTCAGTTTCCTCATCTCAACGGTGGGAATAGTTATTAGACTCTAATGGGATTTGGGCATGGGAGAGTGTAGCAGGCTATACTAGTTTGCTAGAGCTGCTATAACAAAATACCACAGGCTGGGGGTGGGCATGGTGCCTAAACAACAGGAATTTATTTTCTCCCAGTTTTGGAGGCTGGCATCCAAGACCAAGGTGTTGGCAGGTCTGGCTTCTGAGGCCTCACTCCTTAGCTTGCAGACGGCCGCCTCCTTGCTGTGTCCTCACGTTGTCATTCCTCTGTGCCCATGCATCCCTGGTGTCTCTCTTTGTGTTCAGATTCCCTCGTCTTATAAAGGAGCCCAGTCAGAGTGGATTAGGGCCCAGCCCAGGGGCCTCACTTGAACTTAGTCACATCTCTAAAGGCCCATCTCCAAATGCAGTCACCTGAGGTTATGGGTGTTAGGACTTCAACATATGAATTTTGTAGGGGTCATAATTCAGCCCATAGCACATGCTATGCCAGAGAAGGTGACCAGTTAGTTTATTAATAATGATCATTATTATTAATGTAGTGATCAGATAAATATGTCCCAAACTCCCAGCTTGGTCCCCAAACAAAAGCAATAGTGGAAATCCGGAATAGAGATTCTCACTGCCTTCCTGGCACTGGAGTTTTGCAGACATTTTTAGGGCCTGGAACCTGTGTGTTTCCATGTGCTTCTCCTCCTGTGCCAGCAGGATTACTTACCCAGGCGATATTTGTTGAGCACCTGCTAGGCACCAGGCACTGTTCCCCACACGGGGGATCCATGGAGGGCAGGTGCAGCGCCCCCTGCTTTTCTGGAGGCAAAGGGAGACAGACAATGAGCAAGAAAATAAATATGTTGTCAGAGAGTGAGAAGTGGTATAAAGGAAAATAAAGATGAAATTATCTCGTAAGTTTCCTGTTAAAATTTTTCTGGACATTTATTTTACAGAGTACCTTTTGGTAAAGGAAGAAAGCCATCATTTTTCTTCAGTCGTTGAGTGATGCATTCAAAAAAATTAAACCCAGATAACAACAGCAAAGCTTTCCTCATCGTGCATCAGGAAACAGAAATCCTGAAGATGCTGTTAGAAATCAATTCAGCATTCTAGAAGATAACCACTGTCCCCCTGCCTCTCGAATCCCCCAACCCAACACACCCTGATGCAAGAGATTCTGACCCAGCTGAGTCCTCCTCCCTGGCAGCTCACTCCAGAAATTCTAGCGTGGATCCTGGTGTCCCATCGAGCTCAGCCCAGGACCCAGTGCAGTAAGCACCGTGCAAGCCTTCACTTCTCCGACTTCTGCTACCCAGGGTAACTAAATGGCTCATGCCCTGGGTTCTGCCTTTCCATCCGCGCGTGACCTCGGTCAGTTCACCTCTTTCTGGGCCCTCCTTTACTCATCTGTGCAATGAGTCTAGAACTGGTACCAGCCTCCCAGCATCCCGTGAAAAATCAAATGCTCAGGAAGCACTTAGCACAGTGCCTGGCACATAGCTCGCGCTCCACAGTGGCACCATTGATCTTTGGGCTCAGAAACACTTTTCCCTGGTGCCCAACTCAGAGGCTCCATCTGCACAGCTGTGCCCTGTGTGGTTTCCCTGACATCATAACCAAAGTCATTTCAAAGGTGAGGGTGTTGCAGGTCTCACATCCAGGTGGGTTGAGTGGCCGCCCCAAACGTTCCCTCTTGTTTCCGGGCCCCGGGGCCATTTTTAGCAGCAGGACCCGGTCTTGAAACAAGCCTGGACTCTCAGGACTAGAAGAAAGCCTCAAGGTAATTTTACAAGTGAGGAAACGGAGGCTCAGAGAGGGAAAAGACCTGTCCCAAGACAAAGGTAGATCTGAGTTCAGAACTCAATTAACATTTTCTGGTTTAATCAATATTTATTAATCTTTCTACCACCCCATGTCCAGGGCACTGAAGAGAAAGCTGAGACTAGGATGGCCAGAGGGCCTACCTTTGTGAAGCTTGTGGCTTACTGCAGGAGACAGGTAATAAACTGGGGATATATCCATCGGCTGGGCCCGCTCACCTGATGGCCCTTCAGTAGCCTACCTGCTCCAGGTCATCCTCCCATGTCCGTCCCATCCCAGCCCTGCCCAGAGCCCTCCCCAAGCCAAGAGAGACCCAGCCCTGTCCCAAGCCCCCTGGCTGTCTGCACCATTCAGGGCCGAGGAACTGTGGTTTTGCATCCTTTCCCAATCCCAAGGATTGTAACAGGCGAGGGAAGACTGGGGCAGCTGGGGGACGTGGGTGCTGGAGGGTGCTGGATGTAGCCTCGGCAGCTCCAGATGTGATGAATGGCCTGGCAGAGCTCCCGCTGTTGTCTTCCAAGAGTGATGGGCAGCCTCGGCTGGGTTCCCACCAGAACCGATTGCTTATTTACCTGTCAGCAACCTTCAGAGCTCAGGGACAGATGCTAGGCAGCATGCCCGGTGATGAGGTGAGGCAGTGACCTTGTCACCCTTTGTTAAGAACCATTGCCACTCCCACTCTTTGTATGTCTGCAAGCAGCCAGCCACTGTGCTGGGTGGTACTCAAACATCACTGCTAAGAAGCGGTGTTGGGGGTCTCGGCCCTGTCAGTCACACCATGTGTTCTACACCTGCAAGAAAACATTTTAAATGACTCGAAAAGCTGCTTTGTAAGTAGCTGCACGAAGGCTCGGTAGCCCTGGGCAAAATCCTGCTCACGCACATGCCTCAGCGTGCAGAGCTCAGGGCAGTGGCTTATTTAAGCCTCTCCATCCCCCACCCCCCATCATCTCAAGTTTGTGGTCTTCCCGCTCAAGCTGGCGCAGAGGGGAGGGGGAGACACAGCTGCATTTGCCCAAAGCCCTTGCCCTGGCCCTGGCCCTGCCCCCAGCCAGAGGTGGAAGGAGGCTGGGGGACGCGATCCTTTAAGGCACAGTGGCCTCGCCCTCGGTCAGCTGAGTCCAGTGACTGCAGCTGACTCTGAACAATCCAATAAACAGCAGTTCTTCATCGCTCAGCATGTGGGGAGAGGGAAACAAACAAGGGGTCAGGCAGAAGGTGGAAATGAGAGAGTAGGGGATCCCCCCCACCCCAAATCAGGTGTTGAGGTTCATAGAGGACGTGAGTGGTGACAAGGGGAGCTGGAATTTGAACCCAGAGCTCTGACTCCAAACCCAGGCATCCTTGATGATAATACCATGGGCCAAGCTTGGCAGTGTGGATAGTGCTTTTCTACAAGGTCAACTGGTAGAACAGGTCTATGGATCATATGGCTTCACCTTCACCATCTCCCTCTGGCAGAACTAAGCTGGCCCTGCCTGCTCCACCTGGGAGGTAATGGGGCCCAGACTCTTGGAACAGGCTTGGATTTATTCCCATCTTCGCCATTTTTTAAACTGTGACCTCGAGCAGTTTTCTAAACTCCTTTGGTTGGAAGAGGAGACACTAATTTTTAAAGCTTGTCTGGCTCACAGAAGCACGAGGACAAGGGCTAGTGCACCCATTTTACAGATGGGGAAACTGAGGCTTTGCAAAACCAAGTGACTGACCAAGTGAGCAGTGAAGGAGCTGGGATTGGAGTTCAGAGTTCCTGACTCCTGGTTCAGGTTCAGTGGCCTCCTGCCAGTCTCGTGGCCTGGTCGTCTAGCTGGTTTGGGGAAAGGCTAAAAGGGGGTTCCAGCTCTGTCACAGGCAGGGACACACTGAGCAAGGGCCCCGCCCTAGCAGTCGATCACCTCTGCTGCCAGCTCCAATCTCAAGCAACCTCCCTCAAAGGTGGGGTGGAATGGGGGGCTGGCTCCATGGATGCCCAGCCTCTCTCCTGTCTTTGAAGGAACCCAATTTCATGCCTGATGGGTTGAGTGACTTATACCTAATTGCCATGACCCAAGAAGCCATCAGATAGATTTAAATGTGTCTTCTCCTGAAAAGAGAGAGGTAACTGAATTTATTCTTGCTGCTGATGGCTCATTGGGTATCTCAGTCAGAGCTGGGTGGGTGCCATGGCTTATGGTCCCTGGACTGTTTCCCACTGTACCTGTGCGTGGGAATCTCTAAGGTGAGTTTGGAAGGCAGGGACAAGCAGGGAGGGGCATGCAGGGATGTTCTCTGTAGCCGAGGAGCAGACACTGCTGGAGGGGCCTCGCTGGTACCAGTGCATTGGACTGGCACATTATTTTTCATGTGGAGAAACAGGACCAGAGAGCGAGCATCTATTGCCCAAAGTCACGCAGCAAATTGGGAGCAGACCTGAACCTAGTGTTTTTCCCTTCGCTTCTTGCTGCTTCTTGGAGCTGGAGAGAAGTGATTCAAGGCTAATTCAGCCTTTGGGTTGACTGTGGATAACCCAGAGTGTACTAGAGAATCCTGATGGCATCTTCACATTCTTGCCTCAGAGATTTAGGTCCACATGCTTGCTTTCTCTGCAGCCCCAAGGGGTCCACATTCTTCTCACTGTGTGTCAGGACTGCTGGAGGCATGGTGGGGTGAGCTCTTTACTCTCTCGATGCCTCAGTTTCCCAACGACAAAGGCAGGATAGCAGCGATTGGATTGGATCCATCTCCCGAGCTTTCTCTTGTTCTCTTGTTCTCTTGGCCCCATCAATCTCCTGGACCCTCAGCTGCTGTCTGAATTGCAGCTACTATTACAGCAACATACATGCAGGTCAGAGAGCCAAACGCCAGGCTCTGTGGCTCCTCCTACCACTCCAGAAGGGGATCACCCTGGAGAGCACTTTCACCTGTGAGAGGGGGTGTGAAGGACTGGAGGACACGCTCCCTCTCCACCCCTCCCTCTATTGGACCACGCCGGGCAGTTTTCCTGTGCATTCTAACAGAGACAGACCATGGAGCCCAGCAACCACTGTGGCCAGAACGTGTGACTGACCTTGTAGCTTATCTTTCCTGCCTTCCCTTCCCTCTCCTTCAGGCTCACTGCCCTGAGATTGTACTTTCCAGTAACATAACAAATGTTTAAACCTTGCCCCAGGTTTATTTCCTCAGGAGCCTGGGCTAAGACTAAAACTAGGGCAAAGGTTGGTTGTGAGAATTAAACAGACGGATGCATGAAAAAGCACTTGGAACCTCTCCTGCACTTTACAATCACTCATGGACTTGAGCTGCCATCATGATTGACATGCTGTTCATATCAGTCTTGAGTGATGTTGTCCCCAAGTGCTTTGCCTGCCCCTGTGCTGGCCACTGCCCCAACCCCACCCAGTTCCTTCTCCCTTCTGGGCTTTCTCATATGCTTTCATCTGTGCCTGACTCACTCATTCATTCATTCATTCATTCAAATGGATTTATTGGGCATCCACTCAACAACCTGAACAACCCAGACGCAGTCCCTGGTCTGAGACTTACATCTCATCTCACCTGTCTTCTCACCTTATGAATCGCCCTTCCTCCTACAGTTCTCAGTCATCCCTAACTTCCGGGTAGGTTTGGGGGCTCTGCCACAGTCTCCCCTCACCTGTGTCTCCCTCCATCATTATATATGTAGCACAGCATGAAGCCCTCTGTTCACCCACTGCTTTCCCTCACGCAACTCTTAGATGCAGGACCCAACCTGTGGTTGATGCTGAAGAAATGCATTCACTCAACCAGGACTTATAAAGCACCTTCTATGTGTCAGGCACTGGACCTATTTTAGCGCCAGAGACGGAGCAGTGACTAAAACAGACAAGCATTCATGCCCTCGTGGAATCCACATACTAGTTGAGGGTAGGGGCAAATGGTAAACAAGAGGAGAAAGTAAAAGATTCAATGTTTTAGGTAGTGAAATGTGTGGGGGAGAAGATGAAGCAGGAGAGCGCTCCAGGAGGCTTTGAGAGTCATGTGGAGAATATTTTAGATGGAGTGGGTAGAGCAGGACTTCTTGAAAAAGACACGTTAAGTAAAGATCTGAAGGGAGCGAGGGATGCAGCCATGTCTGCAGCTTAGGGAAGAGCATTCTAGGCAGAGGGA